AAAAAAAAAAAAAAAAAGCGTAAATGTGACATTTTTCACGCTATCCTCGGCGTTGTAGCCGCTATGAGAAGCAGGCTAAACTAAAAAGAAACTTGGACGGAGTTAAAAGTACAGGTGACTTCCAGCTGCGTTCAATGGCTCGGTGTTTTTCCGTAGAGCCTGTTAGACTAAAACCAGGTTAAACAGACACATTCCCCTACCTGCAGGACACTGTGATTTCAACTTTGGTGGCCGGAATAGACGCGTTGAGCGGGTCGAAGTCGCCTATCGACGCCATGTTTAGGAAACTGTTGTTCATCCTGTCATGAATTGTTTGGTTTTTTCCTTTTCCCCTGTGCTGTGGTGGTACAGCCCCTTTTTTTTTTTTGCGAGCGACGACGGACGGCGAGAAACTGTGTGTGCGCCTCCTCGGCGAGAAGTGGAGCAAAGGTGTCAGAGAGAGAGGGAGAGGGAGGCTGGGAGATGTGATGTCACTTCTCCCTTTCTCCTCCTCTGTGTGTGTCTCTTTGCCTTCTCCCTTCCCTCTTTCTTTATGCCCCTCTGCCATCTCCTTCCCCTCTTTCTGTCAGTTTCACTCTCTCAATTCAGTGCAGTTCAGTTGACTTCTGTTCAGTTCATTTAAAATTCAGTGCTTCAGATTTACTGGCATGGAAGTAATGACAACGATACAATCATCAAGAAAATAGAAGACATTTGTCATGAAAAGTCTTTCCTGTGTGTGTGTGTGTGTAGGCACGTGCACATTCCCCCTGCCCTCAATGCTCTCATCCACATCAGTTCAATTCAATGTGTGTTGCTGGCTTGAAACACCCCTCACTCCTTCTTGCACTGGCCGGATTAACCTGTTAACCCCCCCAAAAAAAGCACTGTTGGGTCCCTAATGATGTCATCAGGGTCATTTCGGCTTTACCTTTAATTTATAACAGAAAGCCTGTGTTACAAACACCAGGTGTGGAGTTTGAATGAAACGAAAGACGATGTTTGCATGATGGGAAACGTAGTGTTTTATGGGCTTAATGTTTAAAAGAGTATTTTGACTCTGTATCTTTTTGTTGCTATGTCTCTTGTAACTCCCCCAGCTTTATGAAAGCGTAATACTAAATCAATGGAGGGCACCTTTAAAGTCTTAATACAACATTTTTACATGGGGTCTCCCTACCTAGTTGCCCATTCTGCCCCCTGTTGTCTTTGTGTGTGTGTATGTGTGTGTGTGTGTGTGTGTGTGTGAACAGTAGAGTATATGTTGTGCAGCACATTCAGTCCCTGTGCCACACACTTTTCTGGTCTCATTAGTCTGCGAGGAGATTATTAGTATTATCATTATTAGTGTTTTTAGAAACACTAATAAGTCTATCTCTTCTCGTTCTCCTCTCTCTCTCTCTGCACTATGAGGATAAGCATCTGATTTAATTAACTGAAAGGGGGACCCTCCGCTGGCAGAGAATAGAATGACAGCATGATGAATGTGAGGGGATAAGGAGGAGAGTCACATTATGAGGACATGGTGGTGTGTGTGTGTGTGTGTGTGTGCGTTTCCAAAAGAGACTTACAGTATATTGAAGTTTCGCTCTAGGTGTGTGTGTGTTTGTAGAGAGGTTGTCAGAAAGCATGTGTGTGCCATCAAAAGAAACCGCTGATACAGTGGTCCTTTAAGTGTGTGTGTGTGTGTGTGTGTGTGTGTGTATGTGTGTGCAAGTATACAAGGATACAAGCATACTCCTCCCAGAAGAAAGTATCTCCCAAACTGGCCCTCCTGGTGAAAGAGAAAATGCCCTGCTCACGTTTGCTATATGCAGCATGTGTGTGTATGTGTGTGTTGTGGGGGGGGGGGGGTAGCATTATGTTTAGATGGTAAGAGTCATAGGATTTTAAAATGACGCATCTCCAGTATTTACTTCACTGTGTTTACTGGCCAATATCCATGTCTCTAAAGTATTAGCTTGTCTTACAGACAACACATGCCACGCAACGCGGCCCTGGGCTGGATTTGCGGCATGGTGGCAAAAACCACTTAAGCGGGCACCTTTGGGCCAATCACATAATATGGCACCACTCCGCGCCCGCACATGGGTGGGGTGGGGGGAATGGGTTCATACACACAAAAAAATAGACGGTCACCGTAACCAGACACCACACACATATACATTGTGGGTAGCAGAAGAAAGACAGAGGCCATTTGACCTGTAGCTTAACCCCCTCTCTGCCAAACGCCCCCCTTGTGTTGGTTCTCAAAATTATTAGCAACCTTAAAAAAGTGTAAAGAAGAGGATTCAACATTATGTTGACTGGAAATGATTCCAAAGTATGGAAAATGGCAACTCTCCTAAAAAAGAACTAACCAGATTTTAATGGCCCGAAATTATAAGATGCTACTGTTGTGTGGGGTTTTTTCTTTGTAATGCAAGATTTTCCAACCCCCGCCTTCTATTTTTATTACAACCAGGTGCACCTGTGTGTAACTCCAAAAGCCATTAATTAAATAATTCACTATCATAGCACCAAGAAGCAAAAACGTTTTCACCCGGAATATATGCCATAAAATGTTTCCCTATAATGACTGGTGTCTAGACATAACCATTGTTATCTGCAAACTCTATTTAAGCTTTATAAGCGATTTATTTAGCCATGCGTATTTATCATACATACCATTCATATTTAAGTAGGTTCAACTGTAAAACAAAAAAGAGTGTATTTAAGTAATTATGCTTATACATTTTAATGTTACAACGTGTCTTTATTCGATTTAACGCATTAACCATGGTCTGTGATGTTTTACATTAGAGTATAACATTAAATAGCGGTACTAAGATCAGGTGGATAAATTAGCCCTAACTACTGCCTGAAAGGGGTTAAAGAGGGACAACACACACACACACACACACCACACACACCACACACACCACACACAGCACAAACTGAAAAAGAACTTGTCCATGCTGTCAGAATGTTGATAGCCATGTAATCCATAATCCAAGCTAGCTGAATTTCCCAGGAAAAAAAACCATGCATAAACATGATGCCCATTTGTAAACAATAAACTTGGCCTCCCATAATTAATTACACGCAGGCAATGATACAACTCCATCATGCAAAGACCACGTACACACAGCCCACAATTCATCACAAAAAAAAAATAATGTTGTTTGTATTTCAACATGTATAGCGATGTAGAAAGTATATTATCATTTATTATATTGAAGACCAGTGTTTACTAAAAAGGAAAAAAGTGACGTTTCCCATTTGCAGGAGATTTTTATGTATGTATTTTGAGCTGAAATCTATAGTATGATGAATATTAAATGTATGAATATGTACATAACTATATCTGATTTAGATGTAAAAACAAATCTCCACCTTGTTTATACAAAGTATACCCTATTTTTAGTTAAAACTAAAATGCAAACAAATGAATTTATTTTCTAGCTATAATAGTTTATTTTAAGCTATTTGACCCATCACAGAGAAGTATATGTCACAGTTAGTGAGGATGCTGTTTTTGAATCAATTTGAATTGTTTTTAATGGCCCAAGCTCATTATGACACCTTTTGTCCTCCCCCTGGGATCAAAATGAAACCCCACCCTGGTTTGAGTGACGAATAGATAATGATTAAGATAGCGAATTCCTTATTTATTATCTGGCCTGAGAGAAATTCAGGTTGACACCGCAGCAAATAGGGCAAAGTAGTGGCAAAACCAGAGAACAAGAGAAGATCACAAATAAAAATATTACAAAATAACCAAAATATAATAAAGATATAAAACTACTAAATGAAAGCATAACCAGATATGCATTGTTCAGTAGGACAGGGAGTGCAAAAAATGAGCCAGAAAAATTTACTTGACCTAAAACTAAAACTAAACTGTAGCAGAGTGGAAATTAAATATAAGATAGTGCAAAAGGTTTGTGCTTGTGGTAGGAGTTTTAAACCGTGCTTTGTCCTGCGGGGGTTGGAAGGGACTGGGTTGCTGGTGTGGTTTGTGGAGGTATGATGGCCAGATGGAACAAACCCCCAAGCCTCCAAAACCACTTGAGGCTTGGGGGCTGGGTCAGTCTGTAGGCTGAAAGTGCTGCCCTGAAGCCTGCCTCAGCTAGTGTAGAGAGGAGAGAGGGGTTGTCCAATGATGGCTTTCAGCTTCCCCTTCTCATCATCTTCTCTGGGGAGGGGTTCCTCCTTGCTCCCGCCGGAAAGCAACCAACCCAGCTCTTTTTGGTTTTTCCCTGTGTTGAGCCTGTAGGTGGTTTCTGTCCGCACCCATCCCAACCTGAAGTTCTTCAATCAGGTCTCTGTACCTCCCTCCTCCCTATCATCTGAGATACAGCCGACAATGGAGGAGGTCCATCCAGAGAACTTCTGTGAGGTGACACGCTCCCAGAGTTGAAGCAGAAAGTCAGAGGTGTAGAGGGTGAACAGGAATGGTGACAGTAGCAGTTCCTTGGGTGTAGCGCAGTGCATGCTCGTCACCCCAACGTCTGACAAGGCAGACTGTGCAGTCTGACATAACTGTGGTCTGTCAGTGAGGTAGTCAAGTGATCCAAGGCCACGAGTCGCTGATCCACGGCTCATCAAACAGAAGAGCTTTTCCTGCCAAGCCCGAGAGAGGCTGGAATGGGGTGTCGAAGGCACTGGAAAAGTCAAAGAACATGATTCACGGTGCCCTTGTGACTTCCCTCCAGGTGAGTGTAAGCTCTGTGAAGCAGGTAGATGATAGCATCATCCACCGCCCGATTGTGTGCGGCCTGGTACGCAAACTGCAGTGGGTCCAGGCCAGTCCGTACCAGGGGTCTGAGGTTGCTGGCAAGATATATATGGGCAAGATTTATATGCATAGAGTATAAATTAATCACACAACCTCCCTGTGTTTCCAAACCTTTTTAGTAAACTTTAATTCTAACTCATTAATCTGACATAAGCAATATTTCAATATTCATTTACAAAACATTTAACTTTTCTAAAACCCTAACCCCCTCAGTTGATCGCGAGGCAGGTAGTGATGGCATGATCTTTGCAGATGTATGGCATTGGCTTTTTGGCATATTGTGGATGTTTCAAGATCAGCTCCTGGCGAGGGCAGTTTTTGCCTCTGAGGGGGAGCTGGGTGAGGTGAGGCTTTGGTGGAGGGGGAGAATCGGTGAGGGGGAGGTGCTCAGAGGTAAGCTGGGCATACCTTGTTGGGATCTTCTCAACATATCTGGCAGCGGCCTGACGTGTGCGGGGGAACTAACCTGTCAAATTAAATTGTTATTATAAACAAATCAAAGTGCATACAAAGTTCAAATTGTGGAGGTCACTACAGAAGAAGGCAAACCAGCTACAGAAGGAAGAGCAACAGAAATGTAGCTTAATGCTGACCTTGCGTCGCTTGATGTGAGGTATCACCAGCTTCAGTCTTCCTCATCCGCTGATTCTTCCTCTTCATCAGGACTCCAGTCCTCCACTTCATACCCTTCTCGTGCTGCGGGGTCTTTTCGACCCCAGAGGACAACAGACGTAATTAAATTCAATAAAACACCCATAATTCAATCAAATTAATTAGAATTTATTGTAATGATGAAGAGCATAGTATTGAACAACCCCTGTTATTTTTAGACCATTTGATGAAAAAAATATTTTGACAGCAAAACATTTTTTTTGGGGGGGGTCAGAATGTTCCTCCTCCAATAGTTGTTGAGATATGTATACTGTACCAAAGGGGTGGAACGATATTGCCTTACCTAAATCTGTGTTGCTACCCTGGCTAAAAATCTCTGTCATACTGGTTACAGATGTTTCCTAGACTTACAGCTACCAGACAGACCAATTAGGGAAAAAATGATTCAGGTACTACAGGTAATACATTTAACAGTAGGGTAGAGAATTGCAAAAATGTCCTTGCTTCTTGTCTTTCTCTTTCAGCTCACGGCTAAGTGTCCTGCTGTTCACATCCCAGGTAGTTATGATCTCACACTTGATTCTGACCTGCACTTATATGGAGAGAGTTTCCCTCTGCCCAATGTATACAGGAGCGCACACTTGACCTTCTCACTATGGTTGCTTCTATAAGCCTTATTTCTCCCTCCTCCCCCCTTTCACATACAGTATCTCCTCCTTGGTGTTCATCCCCCATAGTTTTTGTTAATCTCCACCTTTTCATGCTGCTCTCTTTGTTGAGACATAAAAACTCAAGCTGATTCAGTAAATGAAACACAGATGTCATTTCTTCAAAAGGCACTGCCCTCTAATTTCATGCTAAAACGCTTTTGCTGGTTTATTAAAAATGTTGCTCTTCCCAATCTGTTTTTCTTGATAACTGAGATCCGCCGAGAGGGGACATGGTTGATTTCTGTAGCCGCATTAAGAGAGCAAGCAGGCAGTATCACGGCTCATCGGTTCTGGTCATAAAGCAGCGACGGCGCTGGTATTTTTAGCCGGAGGATTCACCCTGTGGACGCTCATAGATAGGAGACACGGTGGTGAATATTGACCCTGTCCTCCTGAGCCTCATTGCTGTTCAGATAAACGTCTTTAACTACCACTTGGCTGTCTTCGCCTGTTTCCCCCCTACACTTTATCTCTTACCCTCTTTCCTTTTTTGTGTTTTCTCACCTATTCCGTCTTTGTTTCCATATGGCTGTCAAACAAATAAAATGCAAATTAGGTGTGTTTTTCTTTTAAGCGAATAGCTCGCTGAATGTCAGAAAACAAAACATTCTTGCTGCTAATGATGCCCATATTTATTTTATGATTTCATCCAAGGTAAAAACTGTGAAATGCACAGGAACATTCTCTTAATGCACCAGCTAATGGCCAAACAATAATGGGAATATAATACTGAAAAACATGGTCCAGAGCATGGAGTACATCATTATATATTTGACAAATGCATTTCTCTCACTATTTTTGTGTAATTTCTTATGACAAATACTGAAGGGAGCCTGGCACACACGTACACACATACACACACACACACACACACACACACACAAACAGGGCCAAAGCTCATCCCTGGCAATTTCACATAGAAATTAACCTGTATTGATTTTAATCCCTCAGTAAATACAAAGCACCTGCAGCTGTACAAATCACATTATTCAGACGGATTTAGCTGTGAAACAAGAGCATCCGGTGGGGCCCACACACACCACCAATCAATGTGTTCAGTGAACAGATTAAAGGCGGATATATTATCCGAACTCATCATAGATTATGCTACAATTAAACTGAAAGTGGAACTCCCCGCCCACGCCCTCTGTGTGAGAGAAGTCATTATTGATTTCTTGTAAAACTTGATCATCTGGCTCGTACAGTGTGCCAGGAATATATCATACGATTCCTGTAGACAGTAAACATCCTTAAGAGCTGGAAGGACAGAGATATAGCGTTCAGGTATGAAAAAAGCCATTTTTGGAGGACATCCAGGTGCTTTCCAAGAACTTGTTTCCGGATTAAGATTTACGTGACGCAGTTACCTTTCCTGTCACTAGCCTGCCTAGTGAAAGCGAGAAGATGACTTTGGGCGTTGATAGTTTGGTAGAGGGCAGAGGAATAAGCTTATACAAGCTCACGCTGTCGTCCATTGTTGGCTGTACTTCCTTTTAGGTGACCCTATGTCACAAAAAGTAAGTAGATTTTCTGGTAATATATACACATACATACATAGATAACTGTGGATAGCATCTGGTGAAGGGTTCATTTAGGCTGACGTTAGAAATGGTCATGTTAAAGTAACATTTCAATATTTTGTGAAATATGCTTATTCAGTTCCTTGCTGAGATTTAGATGATTACATCAATCCCACCCACATGTTTCTTTTTTATATGAAGCTACAGCCAGGGATGCTAGCATATATGATACCTAAACTAAGCTAACCCTCAGTTTAATATATAAAAAAAATTTAATTTTTATTCTACATTTAATGGAGATACAGTGATTTCATTAGTGAAAACGGATGTTTTCTTTCATCTTTGGACGGAGCAAGACTAGCTGTTTCCCCCTTGTCATTGTGCTAAGCTAAGCTAACCGCTGCTAGCCCTAGCTTATTTAGCTTTAGAGCGGTATCAATCTTCTCATCTCACTCTCAGCGACAAAGCAAAAAGGCACATTTCCCAAAATGCCAAACTATTCCTTTAAGGTTAAAGGTTAGGGTCGCATGTAGACTTTTAAGTTGTTAAGTATCGAAATTTTAAAATGTTATAAACAATAAAGCAACAATGTCAGCTACTTAGCCGACCTAGCTAGCTAGTTAGTAGGCTACAATATGCATCTAACGTGATCCTCTCTTACAGTTTATGCACTGGCTTGTGTTAAAAACACGTGTACACAGTAAGGACAAAGTGGCTAGCTGATTTCCAAGCTGACAATATCATGACATTAATGCAATAATCAATCACACGTCTCAAAATGAGAACTAATCAGTTCTCTGCCAGAAACAGCAGCGAAAGGAAAAGGTTATGTTGAGTTAATCAGGGTGAAAGATGCAACGTGGGGGTGAGTTGTGTCACCTGAAAGCCCTCATTAGAATAGTATAAAAGTGCAATAGAATAGAAGTTCAGCACAGCACACATTAGGTGGTGTGAGTCAGCCGCGAGTCGGTGCTCTGCTCCTGCGAGGCCAATTAACACTCTGCTGCTCTCAGTACTGCTGAACATTAAATATTGATCCTTCCATCACTGTTCACATTAATTTGTGTCTTGAGGGGGAGTTTCTTACCCTTTTTCACCCCCTTCTGTCATTGTCTGTGGCTCCTGTGCTGAAGTAAATCACAGGATACAATATTACTGCCTGAAGTTATAATTAAAGGAGGAATGAAACCAGATAAATGATGAATTAGTCCACAATACTTCCATAGATTATGTAATTTCTTGCGAGGTGATGTATAGTATAATGTATCTAGGCTGTATTATGATGTTTCTTGAGTAACAATAGTCCCTTGTTCCCCTCTTCATACAACAGTACACACTTGCCTAACACTGAGCCCCAAACACAAATAATACAAATCTGAATAAGAAAATGTTAAACAGACAGCCTGCAGATAGCTGCTTTCATTAACCCACTCATATGATCCGACTGTATCATCGACATTTTAAGAGAAACAGAAAAACTGACAAATAAAAAAGTCAAATCCAATATGATTACTTATCTAGTACACCATCTGTCATTATACTACCACCATGTGGTCATAATCCAATAATACATGGGT